GAGTTTGACAATGAACACATTGCAACCATGCTTGGGACGGCCCACATAAACCAGCAAAAATGCTTTACATGTCTTGAAATAATAATTTCTAAACATTAAACATTGACTGTCAGTCTTTATTCACTTGTTTCTCATTAAAGTAAACAGTGTGAATTACATCGCTAATGTCATAGAATAGCAGACTGTAACGCAGTGTTACGACATCCCCATCTGCGCAACTGGAGTTTAAAACTGGTTAGTGTCTTCTGCTAGTAATCAAAGCATTAAACAACTATCTGAACTGATAAATAACAGATTGGAGATTTAAAATAATAGCAGATTTGTCTCATTTTAAGTGAATAATAAAAACGGAGATAAATTTACTTAAGCCAGAATTTAAATGTTACTATGGTAAAATAAATATTCAAACCACGTGTTACAACTAACACCCCGTTACTTTGTGCATCACACTCATCGCAAGTTTATTGTTAAATGCCCTTACATATCTCTGTCACCATTATAAGTGTTTGATCACCACATTTGAGTGATCATTGCAAAAAATGTTTATGTATATATATTCTGTTTATGTATAAACTGTATTCTGTATATATAGTACCAGTCAAATGTTTGGACGCACAAATGGGAAAGTGTCCAAAGTTTTGACTGGTACTGTACTATAATATACACAAAGAATATCGGCCGATATATCGGTATCTGCCTTTTTTTTTTTTTTTTTTAACTACCTAATATCGGTATCGGCTCCAAAAAACCCATATCGGTCGGGCTCTAGTGGACATGTTCTGTGAAGACCAGAGAGCTTAAAAAGGTCTCCTAAGCAATCTCAGTCTGGTCTTTGTCTTCTAGGTGGGGGAAGTCAATCCAAAAAGATTGTGATTACTATCACTGGTTTACATGTGATGGTCATGCTGTGCATCTCTGACCGTTAATCTTGATTACTCGCCCCAAAATTGACAATCTCCTTGGAATTGTCAATAAGTGTTCTTTTGTTTAAATGCTGTGAGCTACTCAAAGCTGCTAGTTCAGGCTTGTGGCGCCAGGACCTGATTTACGAACGTCTTGGGTCTTTCTGTGGAATTCGGCTCCTCGTGTTTCAACCATGTGCTTGATTGAATCTTAAATTGTCTGATTCAGTCTGATCCCCTACAATGCTCTGGTGTGTTTCTCTCAGGCCTGAAGCAGGCTGTGGAGACGGTGAACGACTACAACCCTCTGATGAAGGACTTTCCCCTCAACGATCTCCTGTCGGCCACTGAGCTCGACAAGATCCGTCAGGCGCTGATGGCCATCTTCAATCACCTGCGCAAGATCCGGAACACCAAGTACCCCATCCAGCGTGCGCTGCGTCTGGTGGAGGCCATCTCCAGAGACCTGAGCTCTCAGCTGCTCAAAGTGCTGGGCACTCGCAAGCTCATGCACGTGGCGTACGAGGAGTTTGAGAAGGAACGGCATAAGACCTGTATGTACTAATCAGAACACGGATTTCAGTGCCACTTAAATTCCTAGGAATGTTAAATCCACACATTTAAAACGTCAAGGTTTCAACTGCATCTGTCTAGAAAAAAAAGCAGAGATTGATTTTATTAGGCATTTTCAAGGCTTTCTTTTACTCATTAAAAAAGAACTTGAATAATATTTATTAGGGATGTAATGATATTATTGTGGTCACATGACGATATGAAACGATAGGTCTTCCGGGCAAAAAGTGTAGTTTTAAAAATATATTTAAACTTCTTGTTCTAACATAAGAGGTCTTTAAAGTTGTGTTTTGGGTCATTATGCTTTGGCACAGTATCTGTCAAACGAACTAAAACCGAAAGCACAATATGCTCAATCCCTTCATCAAGTCTGTTTCAAAGTGAAGCACACACTTGGTTCAGACGATCAGCTCGTGATCCGGTGTTTTCCGCGTCTCAGAACGACTCGTTCACACTGAATGAATGCAGTCCACTCCTTTATTTCATGTGCTGGGAGTTTAGTGTGCGTTTGGGAACACAACAGCCACCAGTTATGCTTTATTTTTGCAGCAGATGATTAAAGCGTTTCACTAGATTTGTAGTGAGATGTGTTTTTGTAAGCATGTTTTCACTGAAGCTGGAGCTTTGCTTCAAAATAAAAGCTCTTAGTTAAGAAACATGGGTTGGAGCTCTTAATTTTGAGCTCTCAAAGTGCATTAGATAGAAGAATTTAACTTTAAAATGTACAAAATTCAAATTTTTTTTCCAAATCTTCGTTTGTCTTTTTTCTTCTTTTTTTTTTTTTTTTTTTTTAAATATCGCAATAAATACCGTATTGTGGACTTGATATCGCGATTTTTTTTTCTTTTTTCAATCATTTCTACACAGGAGAGACTTAATGTTGTTTCAAAACAAAGGGAAATATATATCGGTATCGGCTATTGGCCAAAATTAGTTGAAAAATGACGGATATTGCGAAAAATGTAATATTCATCTCTAAAAACAATTTTTTCTTTTTAAAGTATCGTTTTAGGCACCAGTAGCGTTTTAAAAGTATCGATTTGTATCCGGTATCATAAAAATCCAAAGATACCCAGCCCTACTCTCCTCCCGCAGCGATGCTCTGCAGCTCACGCCTCACGCTCTCCTTCCTCCGCAGGTGATGGTGGCGTGTTTCGAGGTCTTCCAGACGTGGGAGGACGAGTACGAGAAGCTGCAGGTGCTTCTGAGGGACATTGTGAAGAGGAAGAGGGAGGAGAACCTGAAGATGGTGTGGCGTCTCAGTCCGGCCCACCGCAAGCTCCAGGCCCGCTTGGACCACATGCGGCGCTTCAGACGGCAACACGAGCAGCTGAGAGCCGTCATCGTTCGTGTGCTCAGACCTCAGGTATGACTCTGACGGATTCTGGATGTGATTATTCTGATGCTGTGAAGTTCTGATCTCTCGTTCTGTTGACCAGTCAAAGATTAAGTGTTTCCCGACAAGCCTCAGATTGACAACAGACCGGACTGACATGACATGGTCTATCATGACATTTCAGTTCATATTAATGTGACCCTGGACCACAAAACCAATCATAAGGGTACATTTTTTTGAAACTGAGGTTACAGATGTTCTTACAACATAACGACATGTTGTCTTTGCGCTTTATTATTACGACTTACGAGGCACAGAATTTAAATTTCAAACCATAGATGAGTGTATCTTGAAACATATTTGTGAAAATTGTATTTCATGTGTTTTTTTTGTCATTCGTACTTGTTAAATATAATCAGATTCCAATTGTACATGCACAAAAATCAGCTTGAGTTGTCAAGAGTGTAGAAGGCTGGATATATATGTAAGGGATAATGTACATCCAGCTAAATATCTAATCAGAAATATCTAAAGAAAGAGAGAGCGAGTCCGCTATACCAGGATGATATAATTTCATAATTAGGTTGGCTTGAGATCTGCTACTTAAGCTTTTTGTTATTATTCAGCTTAGACAAAATTTCGGAACGCTACTCCTCCTAGAGCATTATTATTATTATTATTATTATTAACAACATGCTAGCGACATGCTAGCCACTTGTTAATCATGCTTAGCAATATGCTAGTAACAGGCTAATCATGCTAGAAACAGGTTATCAACATTTATCTAATCTTTCTAAATTTTCAAACTTCAGACTGCTTTAAACTTTCAAGCTAGGCTTTCTCAAGCCAACCTAAAGTTTGTCTTGACAAACTTTTTTTGTCTAGTTGTACACACAATATTGAATTGAGTTCTAATATTTTATTATTAGCCAACCAAACATAAAGCTTCCAAGTGGATAGCGCCGACTGCAGTTACCTGGATGAGCCTGTGATATTTACCCTGTTGTTGTTCTCAACAATAACAACTTGCAATGTGGTGACTGACCAATCAGATTAGAGTATTCCACAGAGCTGTGTAAAGCAAAAGCTAATAAAGTGTTTGCCTCTCTCCAGGTGTCCGCCGTGTCCCAGCATGCTCAGGGAAAGACGGCCGAGCCCGACGATATGAAGGTGGCCGAGGTGCTCTTCGATGCCGCAGATGTCAACGCCATCGAGGAAGTCAATTTGGCCTACGAAAATGTGAAGGAAGTGGACGGACTGGACGTCTCGAATTCTTTATTAAAGCAATAAGCCCCGTGAAGTCGTGGTTTACAGTGAAACCACGGCTTCACGGGGCTTATTGCTTTTATAAAATGGTTATTCCATATACGTAGTAAGGTTTCACAAAATAAAACCGAGCAAATAAAGTGTAATGATATTAATAAACACAGTATTCTTCCACCAAACAATGTAGCTCCTCAGAAACAGTTGTGGTTGCTACAAAGTGGTTGCCGAGCAACACACAAACGTAAACAAAGGTGTGTGTTACTTTGTAGAGTCATTTACAACAGCTTCGAACGCGGCTCAGCCAATCAGAGTCAAGCACCGGAACTATCCGCTTTATAATATTAGGGCTCTATGATTTCTGCGATGCGAAAACATGGACTGAATCGTGGAATCCAATCATAAAAACAGAATTTACAGTTATATCACAGAATTTGTCAAAGTTTGGATGAATTAATCAAAAGTATGTAATTACACTTCAATTAAATCATGATATGAACTAGTATCTGTAAAAATTACAGCATGTCTGTGTGTGAATGAATGGCGCAGACGCGCGGTTTTGTTTACTACACACGCACTATGACACTCGCTGTGATTTCAGCGTCTGTCGTCTCACTAAATGAGGTCATAAATACATGAACAACATCTCCAGAACTGCTCTGAGAGGCACTTCATGAGTATTTGACCGTTTCATCTGAGTAAAACTATCCTCATATCATACACACACACAGAAATGTAAAAGTATGCAACCCGTTAAAATAAAAGTTTGGTTTAACTTGAAAACATCGTGGCAGAAATATATTACTATAATTCAGTAGAATGCAAGTAATAGTGCTACTACTGTTGAGAAATTAATAAAACTTAATTTAAGGAATCACACGATTTCTTCCATGTTTTAATTTGACTATAAAATCCCATTTATTGGCCAAAAAATCATTCATTTGTTAACCAGAAAAATGTAAATATACAGCACAGAATTTCATAAGGCTATTGCAAGACTAAATAAAAAATGTTTTTATGCATTCAAATAATTAGACGTGCTAAAGCAGAATTTGGTAACGACCGTAAGGTGTGAAAAAATAAAACATTTCGTAGAGCCCTAAACGTGTACTTTTTGTTAAGCTTTTAATAAACTGATGTTCATTTATTAATTAAAATCATGAAACGTATATTAGGGTCCTATATTACTTGCATTATTGAACAATAGTCATCAAAACGGTGGGAGTTTGCTTGTTACTTACTAAAAGAAATTGACCAAGCTTTGGATAGACAGATTTTCACGAGTAGGGCTGCATGATAATGGTTAAACGGTTAATCATGATTATTGTCATGCTCATTTTTGTGCATTTCTTCAGAATTTTTTATGCTTATTTGATTCACCAGCTTGCAGTGTTTTTGCCGTAACTTAAATCAGTTTGCAGTGGCTGGGAGCAGAACGCTTACCAGTAACTGATAATGACAGAAGCTAGTGATAAAAGCTTAATTGGAACTAATAATCGGTGTCAGCCCATCGAAATGGTTAAGAAACATAAATTCAGTGGTGTGTGTCCATGATTCGGTTGGTAGTGTAGCTGTGTAGTGTTTACAGTCCGGATGAAAAGAGATGTGAATGTCATGTTGGTTTGTGTGTGTTCCGCTCTTAGGTGGATGATCTTCTTCTGCTCGAGGAGAAGATTGATCTGGAGGTGCGCTCGCTGGAAACCTGCATGTACGAGAATAAGATGTTCACGGAGATCCTCAACCGCATCCAGAAGGCTGTGGACGACCTGAACCTGCACTCGTACTCCAACCTGCCCATCTGGGTCAATAAACTGGACATCGAGGTGAGTCCAGCTGGACAGAAGCGCAGAGTCTGTCCGGAGAGAGTGGTGTTTGATCAGATGTGATCGTGTTTCCTCCGTAGATCGAGCGCATCCTCGGGGTGCGTCTGCAGGCGGGTCTCAAAACCTGGACGCAGGTTCTCATGGGACAGATGGAGGACAAGGCTGATGTGGACATGGACACCGAGGCTCCTCAAGTCAGTCACAAGCCCGGCGGAGATCCCAAGATTAAGGCAAGACGTCGTCCTGTAGTTCTGAGCCTGTGTGCATTGAGGATTCGTAACTTCACACTGAAATGTTTTCTTCGTCCAAACAGAATGTCATCCATGAATTGAGGATCACGAACCAGGTGATCTATCTGAACCCGCCGATCGAAGACTGCCGCTACAGGCTTTACCAGGAGATGTTTGCTTGGAAGATGGTCATTCTGTCTCTACCCAGAATCCAGAGTCAGAGATATCAGGTCTGTGTGTTTGTTTGTTTGCTCTGCATTCGTCTTCAGTTTTCAGCTCCTTTTAAAGGGACAGTTCACCCAATAATGATCATTCTGCTGTTCCAAACCTGTATGGTAAGCTTGTTAGTAACCAATAGAGCTGGGTATCCCCCCCAACCCCGCCCCACCCGCTGATTTCTCGATTGTAATTGATTCTTTTTACAGAATGATATTGATTCTTAAATACCAAGAATTGATTAGTCTAACCGGTTTACAGTTAATGAACGGAACATTGTAGCGCACCCCCCATCCAATAAATCGCAATAAGCTTTGTTACTGTTGATATGAAACAAAGTCTCAGAGTCTTACAATTTTATTTAATTTCAAACAATAAATGCTGTTTTGCCGCTGTTTAATGTGGAGTGACAGATCGCTGTAGCGCCTCAGTCCAGAAGCGGCAGATCCGGTCAGCTCCTCTGCTTTAATACAAGTTACAGCACAAAATAAACATGAATAAACATCTGAAGGTAAACTAAAATAAAGTGTACAATTTACTTAAATCTGTATCCCGTCAAATGTAATCGCTCAGTGTTTCAACCACGGAAAGATGTCAATATAACGGCTTGTAAACAATATGTAGCGTAATATCACATTTACGTGACCATAAACTCGTTAGTCGGGTATAGAGGCAACTACCAGCAACTGTTTGGTTATTAACATTCTTTAAAATATCTTCTGTTGTGTTGCACAGAAGAAAGAACCTCACACAGGTTTAACGTTCGCTCTTCACGCAGGTCGGCGTTCACTACGAGTTATCAGAAGAGGAGAAGTTCTACAGGAACGCTCTGACCAGGATGCCTGACGGTCCAGCAGTACGTGTCTGGAGATGAACGCTGTTTTCAGGTCTTTTTCAGCCTCTTTCAGAGTCTGTTTGCTTGTTGTCGCTGCAGGGCAGTCTGCGTCCAGAGGAGGCGCTGCAGTCGCTCACCATCTACGAGGGCAAGTTCGGGCGTCTGAAGGACGACAGAGAGAAGTGTGCGAAGGCCAAAGAGGCGCTGGAGCTGACGGACACGGGTCTGCTGAGCAGCAGCGAGGAGAGAGTGCAGGTGCGCCACGACTTCACAAGCATCTCTGTTATGGACCTGTTGATTTCAAAAGCGTTTGTTGCATTTTATCAAGCAGAATGAATGTTTTAAAGAGACACAAACCAACTAACAATCACAGAATTCATCATAATCTATTAATGTTTGAGCACATCTGATCTCTTCTGGAAGCTGGTTCCAGCTGCGGGCGGCATAATAACTAAAAGCACATTCCCCTTGTTTTGTGTGAACCCTTGGTATTTCTAACTGACTCGATCCTAATGATCTGAGTGGTCTGATAGGTTTATATTCAGTGAACATATCTGCAGTGTATTTAGGTCCTAGGCCATTGAGTGATTTGTAAACCAGTAAAAGTACTTTAAAATCAATCCTAAATATAACTGGAAGCCAGTGTAAGGAGCTGAGGACTGGTGTGATATGCTCAGATTTTCTGGTTCTAGTCAGAATCCTGGCAGCAGCGTTCTGGATGAGCACCTTAAGCTGGTTGTTTTCTGAAATGTTGTTTAAATATGCAAATGATGCATTAATCTAATTAAATATACACTAATATGCAGAAATCTGAACGTTGGATTAAGCCAGGTTAAAAATTGTTGAATTTTGTTGAATTAGAGCTAAAGGTTTTTCCAAAGGGCGTTTTGGATTTCTTTTTATCGCTACAAAAATCTGAAAATCTGTCAACAGACACAAAACAAATATAATTTTTACCATGTTTTTAGGAATGAAATGTTGTATAAATCCGTGTGAATGACATCTGAATAAACCTTCAGAATATAGAGATGAGTAAAACTGTAAAAAAAAATTGGTGAATGTAAGAGGAAAAACTCTGTAAAGATATGGATTGACATTGAAATCTACAAGCGCAAATATATGAAGTGCAATTAAATAAACTCTTTTCTCTTCACTTGTCTGAATGAAGACACAATATGAAAGCAAAACAGACACACACTGGATTCATTTAGCTCTAGAGTATTTTTGCTTTCAGTTTTCTCACACATCATTTAGAGATCAAACTGTATGTTGAAGATTCTGCTCTTGTTAACGCGTGTCGTGTCCGTGTTGTTCGTCAGGTGGCTCTGGAGGAGCTGCAGGATCTGAAGGGTGTTTGGTCGGAGCTGTCGAAGGTCTGGGAGCAGATCGATCAGATGAAGGAGCAGCCGTGGGTCTCTGTGCAGCCGCGGAAGGTGAGCGACACACCTGCCGTCTCGTGTGACTCGTACCCGAGCCTGGCTTTCACTGAGTCTGTGTTCTTCTTCTGTACAGCTGCGCCAGAGTCTGGACGCTCTCCTCAACCAGCTGAAGAACTTCCCCGCCCGTCTGCGGCAGTACGCCTCCTACGAGTACGTGCAGAGACTGCTCAAGGGGTACATGAAGGTGAGCCGGTCCTGCGTTACCAGCGGAGGATGCTGGGATAGAGCCGCTGAAACGCCTAAACCGTTCCCTGTGTCCTCTTCAGGTGAACATGCTGGTGATCGAGCTGAAGTCGGAGGCGCTGAAGGACCGGCACTGGAAGCAGCTGATGAAGCGTCTGCATGTGAACTGGGTTCTGTCCGAGCTGAGTCTGGGTCAGATCTGGGACGTGGACCTGCAGAAGAACGAGATGGTGGTGAAGGACGTGCTGCTGGTGGCGCAGGGAGAGATGGCTCTCGAGGAGTTCCTCAAGCAGGTCCGCCTCCGCCACACACCTGTCACAGATCTAATATAAACACCCCAGCTGTTTACCTTCACAGACGTGTGTGATGTGTGCGCTCAGAAAACCCGTATATCAGAAGTTTAAACTAACATGGTTTAAAACGCATGATTTTAGCATGATGATCAAAACCAAACAGATGTTTTTTGCAGAATATTTGAGATATGAGCTGTAAAGGCACAGCTTTTGTGGAGCAGCAGCTCATTTGCATTTAAAGAGACATGCACAAAAACAGCGCGTTTCTGCTTCCACTCAAAATAGGCATTTTCAAAATGATATAATGAATGATCTGTGGTGTATTTTGAGCTGAAACTTCACCGACACATTCTGGGGACACCTGAGACTTATATTACATATTGTAAAAGGGAATCTTTAAAGATATGTGTTCACAGTTTCCTCTTCACTGCAGATTCGTGAAGTTTGGAACTCGTATGAGCTCGACCTCGTCAACTATCAGAACAAGTGCCGCCTGATTCGTGGATGGGACGATCTGTTCAACAAAGTCAAGGAGCACATCAACAGCGTGTCTGCCATGAAGCTCTCGCCCTACTACAAGGTACACGCAGAACGAGAGAAACCGTATGTTAGAGAGAAACGATGCGTCACAGCAGTTCCTCCGTCACACGTCTCTGTTCTCGGCAGGTGTTCGAGGAGGACGCTCTGAGCTGGGAGGACAAACTCAACCGCATCATGGCTCTGTTTGATGTCTGGATCGACGTGCAGCGCCGCTGGGTTTACCTGGAAGGCATTTTCACAGGAAGTGCAGACATCAAACACCTGCTTCCTGTGGAGACGCAGCGCTTCCAGAGGTCAGCGGCTGACTCAGTTACATCAGTGTGCTGAAGAGCGCAGGCTTTAGGCTTTAACATGTGACTCGTTTGATTTCACAGCATCAGCACAGAGTTTCTGGCCCTGATGAAGAAGGTGACCAAGTCTCCTCTGGTCATGGACGTCCTGAACATTCAGGGGGTTCAGAGGTCGCTGGAGAGACTCGCTGACCTGCTGGGAAAGATCCAGAAAGCACTGGGAGAATATCTGGAGAGAGAGCGCTCGTCTTTCCCCAGGTCAGACATTTGGGCTTTACAGTATCAGCCGTCCAGTGTCCATTAAAACATGAGAGCCGATGGGAATGTAAGGCTGGCTAGTTTTAGTCGTGTTTAGATCTCTCTTAGACTTTTATATGATGTTGTTAACCATTCATTTAGTGACAAAGAAACTGCTTTCAAAATTGTGCATATTAATAGTTTTTGAAAAATTTGCAGTGCTGTAATAAAAATGACGTGTTGATTGTGTTAAGTTGGTCAAATAACTGCAGGCCACGCTTCAGTATCCGCACTGTGACGGTTGTCTAAATACTGAAGACTTACAGAGTTGTTTCTGATTCCCGCAGGTTCTACTTTGTTGGTGATGAAGATCTGCTGGAGATCATCGGCAACAGTAAGAATGTGGCCAAACTGCAGAAACACTTCAAGAAAATGTTCGCTGGAGTTTCGAGCATCCTGCTGAACGAGGACAACACTGAGGTGCTGGGCATCTCGTCCCGAGAGGGAGAGGAGGTACGGCTCGACCCGAGAGAGACTGGGACCTCCGTTATGTGCTTGTTTCAGTCAATGATGCAAACTCAGTTTCAGCTGTAAAGCAGCTCTGCAGAAGACATTAGTGTCATTATTCAGATCGATTCAGTTGGGTTTGATCTCGTCTGATAGCGTCAGTGCAGTTAAATCAGTAATATGAGTGATGTCTTCATGTGGGAAACCTCTGGAATGTGCTGTTGTTTTCAGGTGCTCTATAAGACGCCGGTGTCCATCACGGAGCATCCGAAGATCAACGAGTGGCTGACGCTGGTGGAGCGTGAGATGCGGGTGACGCTGGCTAAGCTGCTGGCTGAGTCCGTCACGGAGGTGGGCGCCTTCAACAAGAGCACGGGCATCGACCTGAGCACCTACATCAACTGGATCGACCGATACCAGGTGACCCGTCCTCTGAGACTAACCCAGTGTCTGTACATGTCTTCATGAGTGCTTAACCTCCGTCTCCGCTGCGTCCAGGCCCAGCTGGTGGTTCTGTCCACTCAGATCGACTGGTCTGAGAACGTGGAGAGCGCTCTGACCACCATCGGTGGCGGGGAAGACATGGGTCCGATGCAGGCCGTGCTGGCCAACGTGAAGGCGACGCTCAACCTGCTGGCCGACACGGTTCTGATGGAGCAGCCGCCGCTGCGCAGGAAGAAGCTGGAGCACCTGGTGAGGAGTCAGACGCTCGTGTGGATGTGTGCGTGTGCTGAGAAACTGTGAAACTGGAGATTAATCATGGTGCAAAAAACAGTCATGCCTTTCTTATAGTTTCTGTCCATTACATTTGTTTTCAGGACAGATTATTGACTCGTATGCGAGTGCTCTAACACAACGCAACAAGCAAAAACAGCAACGCCAGGCTTTCTGTGGGTCTTAAAAATGTCTTCGATCAGAGCAGAAAGTCTTAAAATCAAAAGTCATGGCATTAAATGTTGCATTCACTACAAAAGAATAATATCTTCCTCTGCATTTGTGTCTTGTTTTCCAGTACAAATATCTAAACATCCTTAAATCAAGATGCATTAACTGGAGACGCAAATTGAACAAAGTCTTGTTTTCTGAAAAATTTAACAAAATCAAGTTTCTGCTTAAAACAAACAAATATCTGCCAATCTGGTCAGAAAAATAAACTTGTTTTCCTTTTAAATTAATTGGGTTCTCGGAGTTCACCCTAGACATTTTCATTTAGAGAAAATATTGATGTACAGTGTTCCCTTCAATTCATTCCTTAAATTGGTCTTTACTTGGTTATATTGCAGATTTTTTGCACAGACCCTTTTAAGACCATCAAAGATGTCCTTCTGATGCACACATACACACACAGATGCAGATATTTACTTAGAGTTCGAGTTTGTTCAGCATCAGAATGGCGAGTTGAATCGTGAGTCCTGTCTGATCATCTGGAGCTGCAGACGTGTTTGTGAGTCGTGGGTTTTTCATTCGTAGATCACGGAGTTGGTGCACCAGAGAGACGTGACCAGAACTCTGATCAAGAACAAGATCGACAACCCTAAATCCTTCGAGTGGCTCAGCCAGATGCGCTTCTACTTCACTGTCTGATCATCTGGAGCTGCAGACGTGTTCGTGACTCGTGTGTTTCATTCGTAGATCACGGAGTTGGTGCACCAGAGAGACGTGACCAGAACTCTGATCAAGAACAAGATCGACAACCCTAAATCCTTCGAGTGGCTCAGCCAGATGCGCTTCTACTTCGACCCCAAGCAGACCGACGTCCTGCAGCAGCTCTCCATTCAGATGGCCAACGCTAAGTTCAACTACGGCTTCGAGTACCTGGGTGTGCAGGAGAAGCTGGTGCAGACGCCGCTGACCGACCGCTGCTACCTGACCATGACGCAGGCGCTGGAGGCCCGTCTGGGAGGATCGCCCTTCGGTCAGTCTCACCTTTCCTGCTGGACAGGGTTCCACCGGGCCCTTAAAGTCTTGCATTTAGTTGTATCAGATTTAAGGCCATAAAGAGTCTTGCATTGTGTAAGAAAGTCTTAATTATGATTTCAAGAGGTATTAAATTTGTGGACGGAAAGACCAAAATTGCGATATGGCTTAATGTGACGATTAAACTTCAAAAGGCTATGAAGTCAGCTGCTGTGCTGCTTTGTGTACTGCCGTTACCGGGGAAACGGTTATATTTTATATTCCATAATTGATAATTCCATCTTTATTTGACCCTCTAACTATAGCACTCTCTATTCTTTATTAAAAAAAAAACAAAAAAAAAAACACTTGCCTCTTTTAGACTTGCACTCTATTCATTTACTAACTGCTTGTTTTCTTAAAAAAAAAAAAAAATCTAACACTATTCTCTATTCTTTTTGTGTTCTATTTGTTTTCTTTTTATTTATTATACAATTAACAAAAAGCAAAAATAGGCCTCTAACACTAACTTGCTCTATTCTTTTTATATTCTATCGGTTTTCTTTTTATTATATAATTAATAAAAATCTTAAGTGTGCTGCGTTAGGCTGACTGAAACTTGTTATAGCACTTGCATATCGTTGCTCTTTTGTTGATTCGGATTGCTTCCCTTGTCCTCATTTGTAAGTGCTTTGGATAAAAGCATCTGCTAAATGACTAAATGTAAATATTTCTGCTGTTCTGAAAGCGCCTCCTGCTGGCAGAGAATGAATGTGCATTTTCAGTAAGCCTGTTGTTTTTGTTCAGACCAATGCGAAAATCAACCCTGCAAACACGCAGAGCTGTAAATGTGAACTGGTGGATCAATAAGAAGATAATGCATTATACAAATCTAAACCGTGAAATGCATTTGTTATTTAATTAATATAATGATTGATTGATAATTGTTTAAATTGATATTATAATACTTCTGACTCATCCATTTTCTTACAAATAGTTTAAAGGCTGAAATGTGAAGTGTATCATTTTATAAAACCTTTTGTTTTGGGGAAAACATGTCTTAACTGTAAATCATGCTTTTTACAGTCATTTTACAGTTTTAATACGAGACCCTGGAGCACAAAACCAGTCATAAGGGTCAATATGTTAAATTGGGATTTATACATCTTTCCATTGATGTATGGTTTGTTAGGATCGGACAATATTTCAAAATCTGGAATCTGAGGGAGCAAAAAAAAATCTAAATATTGAGAAAATCATCTTTAAAGTTGTTCAAATGAAGTTCTTAGCAATGCATATTACTAATCAAACATTAAGTTCTGATATATTTACGGTAGGACATTTACTAAATATCTTCATGGAACATGATCTTTACTTAATATCCTAATGATTTTTGGCATAAAATCAAAATGGATAATTGTGACCCATACAATGTATTGTTGGCTATTGCTACAAATATCCCCCAGCGACTTAACACTGCTTCTGTGCTCCGGAGTCACAGATGTTGTTATAGACATTGCCGTACCCCGCTCATATGGTATTAATTTTATTTGCGCAGGTCTTGAGTCTTAAATTTGAGCTTTAAAATCCTCATCGAGCTCATAGATGCACACACGTGAGCTGAATGCATGCAGTGATGATGACGTTCTTGTTCTGTAGGTCCTGCTGGAACGGGGAAGACCGAGTCTGTCAAAGCTCTGGGTCACCAGCTGGGCCGCTTCGTCCTAGTCTTCAACTGCGACGAGACCTTTGACTTCCAGGTGCGACTGGTGTCACGGGATTGGTGTCGGGGGTCAATAACCGGTGTTTAATCACAGGGGTTTGACGGTGTCTTGTGTTTCAGGCGATGGGCCGCATCTTTGTGGGTCTGTGTCAGGTGGGAGCCTGGGGCTGCTTCGACGAGTTCAACCGTCTGGAGGAGCGCATGCTGTCTGCCGTGTCTCAGCAGGTCCAGTACATCCAGGTGGCGCTGAGAGAACACAGCAACCCCAACCGAGACTGCAGTACGTGCACGCTATTAGGGCTGGGAAAATAAGTTGATGCATTGCGAATCGAGAAACGATTCAATGAGATTTTCCGAATTCATCGCGATTCTTTCTCGAGTCGCTTCTGAGCTTAGTTGTGAACAGCAGATGGCGCTGCATGTTTCAGAAACAGCCAAATCCTTGCACACACTTGAACCTAAAATTTCTGAAAGGTTGAAGTGAATCACAAGGGTGTTATGATGCATTAATCTGGCGTCATAAAAGCATTCTGAGCCGAGGTGGAATTACAGACTCAGCCGAACGCACAAGTGCTCTTCAGCTCTTCTTCATGAGTGTTTGAGTGTGCGGATAAAAACTAGAGAAGAGCGCCATCTGCTGTTAAAATAAGCTCAGAATCCATTCCAGAGAGAGTCGTGATGCATTCGGAAGGTCTCCGATCGATTTATCATTGTAGCCCTTCATGATATAGATCAGAACATCATCATCGACTCTGAACTGAAACGGATGATGAGCAGTGTGGCTTTGCTCTTCTGTGTTCAGGTGTGCCCGTCACCACAGAGCTGCTGAACAAACAGGTGAAGGTGAGTGCTGAGATGGCCATCTTCATCACCATGAACCCTGGTTACGCCGGACGCTCCAACCTGCCCGATAACCTCAAGAAGCTCTTCAGGAGTCTGGCCATGACCAAACCGGACCGGCAGCTGATCGCTCAGGTCATGCTGTACTCTCAGGGCTTCCGCACCGCTGAGATCCTCGCCAAGAAGATCGTCCCGTTCTTCAAGTGCGTCTCCGTCTGCTTCAGCTGTTGTTGTGCATGTGTGAAGTGGTAACGTAACCCTGCTTTGGTCTGTGGTTGCAGGTTGTGTGACGAGCAGCTGTCGTCTCAGTCTCACTATGACTTCGGTCTGCGAGCGCTCAAGAGCGTGCTGATCAGCGCCGGGAACGTCAAGAGAGAACGCATCCAGAAGATCAAGAGAGAGAAGCGTGAGCGCGGCGAGGACGTGGATGAGAACGAGATCGCAGAGAACCTTCCGGAGCAGGAGGTGAGATGAGCGAACAGAAGCAGACCGAGCCTGAAACCCAAGGCTGTTGTACTGCTGTAATGTGACGCGTTTCCAAATCAAGAGCATGAGAGCTGATCGGTTAAACGTGTCTCTATATTACAGGAGATCCTGAAAGAATAAAAGGGCTTCAAGTCATTTATTTCTATTGCTCTTTTCACAAAACACTTCGTTTCAAAACATTCTTATGTAAAATCATGTTAATGTTCATAATATCTTCATGCCTTATAGTTGAATGTAGCAGTTTAGAGCTGAACAATAATATACATTTTGAAACGATACAAATAATCAAGCCGTTGAGATTTGTTATATAGTTTTAATTGCTTTACATGAATATACTGTATGTATGTGGATGGAAGCAGGACACATATCCAACTTTTTATTTATTTATTTTTTCTCAATGATCAAGTTAAGTTTGGTGACAAATTCAGGCTTCGGTAGAGATGTTATTTCTTGGAATCTTATTATCATTTTGATGAAAGCTTACGAACTGATGCACTGGTAAGTCTTTCATGATTAGTCCAGGAACAGGAATGAAGGAAATGGAGTGCGGTTTGATGTCATGTTGAGTCACGTGAGTTTGAAGAGTGAACCCAGCGCTGGTTATTATTGTGGTGATCTCTGACCGCGCTTCATGCGCTCGATCCTCAGATTCTGATCCAGAGCGTGTGTGAGACCATGGTGCCGAAGCTGGTGGCCGAGGACATCCCGCTGCTCTTCAGCCTGCTCTCTGACGTGTTCCCCGGCGTCCAGTACATGCGCGGAGAGATGACGGCGCTGCGAGAGGAGCTGAGGAAGGTCTGCGCTGAGATGTACCTCACGTACGGAGACGGAGACGACGTGGGCAGCATGTGGGTGGAAAAGGTAAGATGCGCTTCATAGTACAGCACACGCACAGAGAGCCACGAGTCCTGACCCGTTCTCTGCTCTTCTCCTCAGGTGCTGCAGCTCTATCAGATCACGCAGATCAATCACGGGCTGATGATGGTCGGTCCATCGGGCAGCGGGAAGACCATGGCCTGGAGAGTCCTGCTCAAAGCCCTGGAGAGGCTGGAGGGCTTGGAGGGCATTGCTCACATCATCGACCCCAAAGCCATCAGCAAAGACCACCTGTACGGCACGCTGGACCCCAACACTCGCGAGTGGACAGACGGGCTCTTCACACACGTGCTCAGAAAGTGAGTCCTCATCTCATCACTGCTCTGATCGTCATTTTGGGTTTGTTCTGTCCTAACCCTAACCCATTCTGTCACCGATGGCGTTTCGGTTCCTCGCTTGCTTAGTTGAGGACACTTAATATCCAGCGATTTTGTTGACTTGATTGCACAGACGCTGTTTAAACTGAACTGAGCTGCATTTCCCAAAAGCATCGTAAACCTAAGTACATTGTAGACCCATTGCCTCCAATGAAGCTACGATTAACTTGGGCTTACGATGCTCTGAGCTGGACGATGACATCACTGAATTCAATGACGAACTGACTTTAGCTGAAAATTGAGTGTTTGCTATTGTCCTTTTGCATTATTACACACTATTTAATACTGTAAAGCTGCTTTGACACAATCTGTATTATTAAAAGCACTATATAAATAAAGGCGACTTGACTTTTCCTCATGTGCTGTGTTTGCGCTCTCGTTCAGGATCATCGATAACGTTCGCGGAGAGCTGCAGAAGCGGCAGTGGATCATCTTTGACGGTGACGTGGATCCGGAGTGGGTGGAGAATCTGAACTCTGTGCTGGACGACAACAAACTCCTGACCCTTCCCAACGGAGAGCGTCTCAGCCTGCCGCCCAACGTATGGAGCAGCTGATCTGACCATCGGCCTGTGTTCACAAAACATCTTCAGGATAAAAGTAGCTCACCGCCGATTTAGGAGAAACTCTTAAAAATAATGGGCGTGTCAGTCCTAAATGTAGGACTCCTAAATTTGAGCTCTAAGAGTGTTTCACAAAGCGTTTCAGCGCTAAAACTAGCTCCTAAATCTGTGAAACGTTAGGAGAAGTGAACCGGAGTCCTAAGCCACAAACTATCCTAAAATAGCTGCTGCCCGCAATCTGCCTCGGAACGTAAACGTTTTAGAAACGTTTGACGATAATGAGCTTTTAAAAAGGCATCACCTTTGGTTTTGGAGGTTATCACAACTCCATATTTTCCTTTGATTATATCCTTGTTTTCATTAAGCAGCTGGACAAGAAGTAACCGCTGTTCTTTTAGCGGTTTTACGTTTGCGTGTCTTACTATCAGCCATGATTATTCTACTCTGTTAATTAAAAGGCTGTTTATATGCATATTCACTAATTGTTTGAGAAGCACACGTGTAAGAGGCTGACACTTAGCTGAACATATACTCGTTTAATTAGTGACACTTAGCCTGCATCTTAATATCTTTATTTGAATGTGTCAATAAACATATTTTTATTTTTAAACCTTTATTTATTTGTTCTACAATATTTCCATGAATAAATCTCTGACAGACTATCAGCCAATCACTGTGTGCATAGTTAATAAGCATGCTGACATCACCCATAGCAACGAGCTCAGCCCCGGCCCCTTAATCTGAGATTAAGACTTCTCACTATTCCTTAGTACAAGTTTGTCTCCGCAGCTTTGTGAATAGGTTTCAAGAGAAAACTCTTAGCTGAAAACTTTTACC